TATTTCATTCCTTTTTATTGATGAGTGATATTCCACTGCATACATTTTGTTTGTTCATTGATCAGTTGATGAACATTTAGGTTTGTTTCTATTTTTCGGCTCTTATGAATAATGCTGCTGTGAACATTTGTATAAAATTTTTGTTTGAACACTTGCAGTTCTGTTGGGTAAATAATTAGGAGTGGAATTTCAAGTTAAGTCTCTCGATATACAAGCCTATTCTGCTTTGAAGTTCTGATAGCCTAAGACAGCTCTCACAATGAAAACAACTCTATACTGACTTTCTTATCCCACTTTACCCAAACACCTGCAGTCTTCAGAGTCTACCCCTATTAATTACAATTTATTATTTTGAATTAAAGTCAGGGCATGGATCAGTTCTCATAGTTCTGATCATATACTATGTTTTTAATATATGCTCATTGACATATTGACATTCTAAGATGGCCACAAATGAGATAATGATGATTTATTCACTCCTTCATTCATCAGATATTTGAATGTCCATTGTATTCTGGTCACTATGCTTAATGTTGGGTATAAACAGTGGACAAAAGTTAATCAGTTTCATTATACCCCAAATGCCAGTTACACAACTCCACAAGTATTTACTGAACACTTATAATGTGAATGGTATTGTACTAGCAGACACAGGGAGACAGAAAATGTAGTCTGCAGCCTTTTAGGACAGTAGATAAACTCTACTTGTAACAGTAACAACGACAAAAACAAACACCACCATCAGCAGCCCTGGATATTACATGCCATAAGTAAACTACAAAATGCTCTGGAGGGTCAATGGACAGAGCACATGGTTGGTTGGGAAAATGGAGAGAGAAGAGGACATCAGAAAATACTTCTTGAATTTGAAGGTGATGCTTGAGGAAGGTCCTCAAAGATGGCATTTTGATTGATACAGACTCCTAGGAAAGAGAGTGTTTCAGGCAGAGGATAGCCAGAGGATAGCATGAACAAAGACAGAAAGGCTGGGTACAGCACAATTTTTTTTTTCATAAACCAATCCAGTTATGGAGATATAGATGGGTAATGAGAGAAGACTCTTGAATATTAGGCTTAGTATTTAAACAGGTTTAGAAGAATGATTTGAAAGTCTTTCTATAACAATTCAAATTACTTTAGTGATTCTTTAACCTTTCCTTGAAACTTTTCTATCATGTATATTTTCTGAAGTGCTCATGGAAATTAGTGATTTCTCCTTCCCAGAAGGAACAAAAAATAATTAAAAATCTTGACAGCTCAATGAACATGCTGATAGGGGAAAGCAGAAAGTCAATAATCCCAGCAGTGTATCCTCACACTTTTGGCAATATGTAAGGCTTAAAACAGACATAGCCAGAACAGCAGGAGCAAGGGGTTAAAATAGCATTCATTAAGCTACTGACACCAGGCATTATGCTAGGTGACTGACATGTAGTATTTTTGATTCACCAAGCCAGCTTACTTAGGTTTATAGCAACTGAGGCTCAGAGACGTCAAGTAAATTGATCAAGTAACCAAGCTGGAGGACTCAACTAGTGAAATGCAGACAACAGTTTTGAACCCAGGCCTGTACGATGCCGTATTTTCCCCATTGTTTGCTTTGTTTGTTTGTTTTTACCATACAAGGAGTCTAGAATGGTAGGATCATGATGCATGCTTCAATGAAAAGGGCTGAATATTTACACAGGAGCTTTAATGATATGAAATACTCAAAACTAGGTTTAGAATAGTTTAGAGATCAAGACTAAGAGAAACCAAGTTTAGGGCTGCTTCTTGATCAGTCTAAACGATGATCAAACTATAGATCTTATTTAGGAATGCCAAGGAAGCAAAATCCCAGTTATGATTGGGAAACTAGAGAGTAAACTCCAAGAGAATATGGGTATTTATCTGTATTCACAGATGTATTCCAAGTCCCTAGAATACAGTAAGCACTTGATAAACTTTTGTTGAAATAATGAAAAGTCATGTAAGGCATACTCTCATTTGAATACTCCTGAAGCCCCTGAAACAAAGACAGAGTAGTTGAGTTTAAAAATTATTTAGGCTGTTAGGATAGCTCTTTAATACTCAGCCCCATGGCAAAACCAACCAACTACCAAAGCAACAAACATACAAAAAAGCAGTAGTTGTGAAACATCAGCGTGATTTTACAAAGAAAGGTAGACCAAAGAATGAAAAGACAGTTTTGCATTATATATATATCATTTAGGACTGAGTGGCTAATCAAGTTTCAGTGAGATGGAATCCACAATTTCGACTTACTGTTAGAACATTTTGAACATCTGTGAGCAGTGTATTATCCAATGATGACTTTTGGAAAAGAAAATGGTTATCTAATCTAAAAACTCTTAAAAAATTGACAATTTATTAATGATGGCAAGCAAAGGAAGGAAAGTTTCAAATTCATTAACTCAAAGGAGTAACAGAATACACTTATCAAAAGTTTTTATTTTTCTAGTTTTGGTAGTATGCTTCTGTTAAAACATGCAAAGAAAACTGCAACACAAAGAACATTAAGGGTAAAACAAGCCTTTGGAAGACAGCAAGCTTCTTCAAAGAAACACTTTCAAAGAGAATAAAAACAAGTTCCATGGACTTTCCCTCTATTTTTTACAAGCTTTTCTACTATTTCTTGCTTATGGAACCAATGAGTAACTGCCACTTATCACAAAACATATTCTTTCAGATACCTATTTACATATTGCTTTCTTCTGAACAGTTTTTCAAGCTGCTTCAAGTCTTTCAGCTGTACTCTTTTTATTTGTATTCTACCTCACTTCTACCATGGATTAGCATAAAAACCAACTAAAAAAATGCATTTGCTTTCCAGTTTCCTAAAGCATCTCAATATTTTAACTGTCTTTTCTCTTTTTCATTTAGTTCCATAATCTTTACTTCAGTAATTCCTAATACTACAGTTTAACAGTTTAATTTGTCTGGGTGATATCTTATTTTCTTCTCTGTTACATTAATATAGAAGATGCTGAACACTTTCTAATTAATTAAAAAGGAAATAGCTTTTTAAAAGAACGAGAATTAAAACAACTGCAAATTCTCAGGATAGATCATGTAAAAATTCCAAAGATAAAAACACAGAAGCCTTAATCTTTTCAAAATTCTTGAAAGACATTACAGTTCACTTGACGGATATTCTAATTACTGAAGTTGAGATTTCTTAAACTCCAAATAGACTTATTTCTTCAGTATACACACACAAGTATTGTACTACTCAAAAACAGAAGCTAAGGAATCAAAATTGTTGCACGTTTCTCACCACTTAATGTAGTTTCTTATAAAACACTGAGAACACAGAAAAAAATTTGTTTTATTCGTGTTTTGTCCTTTGTGAGCCAACTTCCTTCCCCAATTAAAATCTTAGGCCAATCTCATGATCCTTGTACCATGCTTTAAAACCTCAAAGAGCAGATACCATTTTTTAATCGGTGCTGAATTAAATTACAAAGGGGGGGGGGGAATGTACCGAAGTACAACTTTCACAAAAACTACATGTAAGTTACATGTAAGAATTTTTAAGGCTGAGGAAGTTGTTTTCAGGCACAGGGCAGCACCTGTAGCCTAAAAGCAACAGGTCTAAGAACTTAAGATACCAATCTTATCAGTTCAGGTAACACCAAGTATTTGAGTACTTCGGTATGACACTTTCACTCTGGTAGGGTGAAAATGCCTCCTAATTTGTAAAATAAGAGTCCCGCAATAAAGCACCTCTTCAGAAGGGCTGCTAGTGTTCCTGTGGCATGTCAAGGCAGAGGACCCAACATATCTCACTTAGTCAAGGGTGGGCCAGAGCGGGGGAGTTAGGGTCGGGCAATTCATGGGTCACGCAACAAAGTATGTCCTCCTGTAGAGATAAGTAGAGAATTTTAACAAGGGTTTCGAATCCTTTGAAGAACATATTAAGAAAATTCTGTTGCGGAGCCAATTTTCCATCTTACACGTGGAAACAAAACTCCCATAGCTTCTGACTGGAGGCTGGAGATTAGCACAACTTTGTCGAGTAACCTAACTTTTCTCCACAAAGCGCAACCCTAAAAGCTTTAGGATACAGTTTACGCAGACAGCACCAGGTATCACCACTTCAAGTCCTCACAGGCACAGGAAATGGGCCGGACACCCCCAACCATCACCCTCCCCCCACAGGAAGTCAGTTTCTCCCTCCCCCCCCAGGACGGCCTTCCTCCCCTCCCCCGACCGGAAGTGCGGCGCCCCCATTCAGTCGGCCCCAAATCAAGGCAGACCAACCACCACAACAGCAAAAGAGGTTGATCTTCAAGAGCGAAGGGCACCTCTGCTGTGGCCACCCCCAAGCTCGCCTTGCTTACTGACCTGCTGACGACAGGGACAGGCAGGGGCCTGGGGCCTAAAGAAAGCCCTTCCACAGAGGACAATTCCCTGAGCCCCTCTCAGTCGCCGGCACTCTTCTCACATCGTCGTGCTACCGCTTGACAAAATTCCTCCGCAGTACTTTACTTTGATGTCCTTTCTTTCCCTTCACCTAATCGCTTGGCCACCTTCCCATAGGTAACTTTTCCTACCGCGGCAACATTTAAAATTGTTCCGGTGAGGAGGAAAATGAACTATTATTCCCGATACCTTCAGAAAAATGAACGGACTATTTTGTTCAAATGAGGCGAAGGGCTACGTGACTACGCAAGGTGAGATTCATTTTCGTGGAGGTTTCTGGGAGATGTAGTTTCGAAAAACTTACTAAGGCCTGCACGAAATATTGGACTAAATTGGTAATTACTATATATTGGAATCCTTGAAAACACATATTCTATATTCGAAAGCAGGCTGCCCTATGGTCTTGCATTATGTGGACCAGTACTCAACTCCCCCTTTCCTCTGGAACGTAATTGAGCCAAAATTCCTTTTACACCGCCTCAAGGTCCTGGTTGTCCCGCCCTCTTTTCTGGCCACGCCCTCCCCAGCCAATCAGGCGGTTTCTAAGTGTCACCCTTCGGAGGCAGCGCGAGGAAGGTGGGGCTTCCCGGTGACTCCTCCTGCGGGACTCAGACGAGGCGGGAGGGAGCCGGGGGCGGGGGCGCGTGCGCGCGCGCGTGCTCGCTCCACGAGGAGCGCGGCGGCGAGGGCGCGCTAGGCGAGGTGGCGCGCAAGGCTGAGAGGAGGCGGGCAGGCTGGTAGGCTGGGCGGGCTGCAGGCGGCGGGCGGCCGGGAGCGCGCGGTGGACTCGGCGGCGGCGAGTAGTTAGTTGGTGTCAGTTACTCGGCGGCGGCGGCGGCGGCTGCGGTCACCAGGAAGGGGACAGGACAGCCGGCGATGGTAGTCACCGTGGCGGCGTGTGCGCCCCGCAGGTAACGGGGGCAGGGCTGCCCGCGTCCCCTAGGTTTCCTTCTCTTCTCGAGCCGGCTTGCTGGACCAGGGGCGCCCCGGGGTGCGGGCGCTGACCTGGGGGAATCCGGGCGGGGCTGTGCGGGGTCTGGGTGGCACCGCTCCGACGGCTTGGGCGGCCGGTGCGTCCCGCCCGGCGCGGGCTCTTCTGGCTCCGGCCGCCCCCGCGCCCCGCCACCCCCGAGGCCCGACGGCGCCGCGCGCCCCCGGCGGCCCCCGCCTCCGCCCTTTCCCCTGGTGGCCGCGGTGGACCCGGTAGCTCGGCGCCCCCCAGAGGAGGGAAAGTTGGGACCTGGCGGCGAGGGACGCCCCCGGGCGCGGCTGGGAAGCTGCTGGGGAAAGTGCAGCCTGGAGGAGCTGGACGCGGGGAGGCTGGGGCAGGAAGGCTCCTTTCGCTCCTGCTAAGTGTGTGCAGTCATCCCGCCCCAACCCCGGGAGGAGCTGGCGCAGGGTCGCCAGCCTGAAACCCGGTAGCTCTTTGCCTGTTGACTTCGCGCTGCGGCTTGTGAGCCCTCTAATGTGCGAGCCTGCTCGGCCGTTAAAGGATTTTGAGTGGTTCGGTCGGTCAGTATGTTTCTCTTTTGCCCATTGACTCATCTCTTCTTGCAACTTTTCTTACCTCCCGCGGTGAGGACTTGCTGTCTTGAGCCCCCCTTCTTTACCCCCTCCCCGTCGCCGGCACCATCCGACAGCTTGATTTCGTTTTTCCGTCCTCTATCTACGTAAAAGACTGCTGAGAGCAACAGGAAAGAGGAGGCCCACCACCTTTAAATGTTACTTTCTTGCAATTCTCTGTTTTTTTGTTTTTTGCTTTGTTTTGAAGACCCATGTTTAGGAGTTGGAGAGATGTGCAGTGGAATTACTGGAAGGCTGATGTTGAGGGGATAGTGACGAGTTAAAGGAAAACTGATTTCATCTTTATTGGCTTGCTATAGAAAACCTAATACAGTTCTCTGCCTCTGATAAATGTGGTAAGATTATACATTTAATTAAATATTTGGACACTTACATAAAAGGCTATTTTTAGGTCGCTGGATGATGTGTGTCCACAGCTTTTCACCTGAATTTGGATTGTCTTGAGAATTCTATTTTGGGGCCTACCCAGTGATTTTTGCTCAGCTACAACGTGTTTTTTTCTTGATAAGTGTAATCATGTATAAATGTGTGTAGTGGGAGAACCCATATTGCTCTCTACAGTGTGGATGTGAAAAACGTGAATTATCCGCAGGGGTAAAACTTTCCACGAACAGTCTTGGATACTTGCTTCATGATGGCTTCTGCAATCTCAGAGCATTTCTGGAGAGTGCAATTTACTGACTACCTTCATTTCTTTCTGAAGTATCTGGTACTTCTCTTTGGTGACTCGTTTAGTAAACTGCAATGGCAGGTATGGTACATTTTCTTGGCTTCCAAGGTGGGAGTTATAGCCTCAGACCAGAGATTAATAGTTAACAATTGAAGCAGAATTCATACCATTACTGGTGAGTTTTGGCTCTGACCAACTCACAAACTATGTGAAAAAACAAACATCTTTCCATGGCTATCAGAGAGGAAGAAGGGGAGATGTGTTATCACACCTTTATTTTGGAGACTCTATCGTAACTATATTATGTGGGAAAGAAATGTCAAATTAACTTTAAGGCTTTTTGATGTGTGATCGTCCTCTCCATCCCTCACCCCCATTTAGGGGCTGACATTGACGTTTGGCAGGGTTCCAGAATGGGAAGAAAAATATTTTGGTGAAAGGAAAAGATACGGTTGCTTTGAACTCATGATACTGTGACTCCTCATTTCACTCAGTGATAGTACAGAGAAACTTCCCTGACGGTGCTCGTACCCCATTAACATTCTGTCAGAATTCATTTTTAAGAGTCTGCCCTGAGGCCCATAAAGAAATAATGCTGCTCATAACTGTTCCTGACAATCACATTAAAAAAATGCATTCCTGGAATGCATTACATGTGTACTCACATAAACATTTATCTTTGTACATTTATGGTAATGTAAATATTTAAGTCTGAGAGCTTAAAAACTTTTATTTGCTAATTTGCATACATGTTTTTCAGCATCTAGTAGTGCCAACCATATTTGCCAAATAAGCATCAGCCATAAATTCCTGCTTTGGCACATTTCATGTAATAACTTCTAAATTGCTCCATGGTGAAACATCATGAGATTAATATTTGCTTCATGAGAGAGATTTGTTGTTGTTTTTAACTGAAATGATGCGCTGTTTAAGTGGAACAGGTGCTGGACTCTAGCTGTTTGTGTTGCAACCTGCCAGATCGTACTCTTTTGTTTGAATGGGTTGTTTAAGTAATGTAGGAACAAAACTGTGGCCCCTGGAATGCCAAGTGTGAGCTCAAGGCTCCATAGCACTGCTGCAAATCTGAATTTTTGCTGTAAGAGGCAAGTGTGTGTGATGAGCTTTATTTTCTCATTGCTTTTCTCTCTGTAATTCCTATTTTCCACCATCACCCCAGTCATTTCATTACTAGAGCTCCTGGGAAAATCTAGGCTTCTTCACTGCTTGCTGGTTTGTTTTCTTTGGAGAACTAGATTCTAGTAACTTTCAGGCCAGGAATCGAGAGTTTGTATTTGTTTGACAAATATTTTGATTGCCTTTTAAGTGGTAGGCCCTAAGTACATCTAGAATTATATTCCTTTTTGTAAGTAGTGTATAGTTTAGGAGGTGAAGATAGCTGTAACCAATAGTTACAATGTGGTGTGATATGTAACAGGGGTGTGAGTAGATTCTTTTAAGCACAGAGAAGGGGTTGTTGGCTAAGACTTGGGGTCTTGGAAGGGAGTGTGCCCTGAAATGCATCTTAATGGGTTCCCTGATCTGATTTTCAACACATAGGAATTAACCAGGTTCAGAAAGAAGGAAAAAGACATTTTAGCCCATTTCTGTCTGGTAAAAATACTAGCTACAAATATAAGTCACATATATATTTTTTAATTTTTTAGTAACTACATTAAAAAATGAAATTAATTTTAGCAATATGTTTTATTTAACCTGATATAGCTAAAATATTATTATATCAACATGTAATCAATATTTATTTAGTTGAAGTGTAGTTGATAAACAATGTTATCTTGGTTTCAAGTATGTAACGGTGATTCAAGTATACAATATCCTTATCTTCAATATTTAAAAAGTATTGAAATACTTGACATTTCCTTTTTCTTATGAAGTCTTCAGAATCTCATTCTTCAGAATAAATACAGAATGCTATGTATTTTACATTTATAGCACATCTCAGTTTGAACTATGCACATTCAAGTACTCAATAGCCACAGGTGGACAGCACAGTTTTAGCACAGGGGTCAATGAAATGGTAAGACATCAAACCACTGAGTGCCTATGTACCAAGTGGAGGAGCCTTAAGGATGTGAGGATTTAGTTGGGGAAAAAATGATGCTGTGATGGAATCACATTCCTGTTTTAGACCTATGGTGTTGGCAGTGAAGTGAATGCTGCATGAGAGAAAGGCAAAACTGGACCAGTTAGGAAGACCAGTTAGGAAACCATTCCTGATGAGAAATGAGGAGGGATATAGAAGAGGGGGGTGGATGTATGAGATTTAGGAAGTGTTATCAATAGGACAGGGTAAAAAATCAGATTATGAAGTTGAGCAGGATTGAACATTTTGGATGATTTCCATATTTCTATTATGAATTGCTAATTGGGGCAGGCAACTGAAGAGAAAGCCAGCTGTCCATGCCAAACAGACCTAAGATGAAAAAGGAAACTATGAGAGATTTGTCATGGAAGCTGAGGAAGGAGAATATTCAAGGACTAGGAGTGGTCAACACTGTATCTGCCTCTAAACAAGATAAGGACTGAATAAAGTCTGAGAATTGGTGACTAAGATGCCCATTGCAACTTCAGCTGGTGTAGGTAGCTACACTGTAACGCACGGAGGGGTTTGAAGAGTGACTGACACCTAGAAGTGTAGCTACTTAAAGAGGGATACAGTGTTTTTAACACAGGATGGAAGGAAAGAGTATAGGTGGTGCAAGGGATTTAGAGAAGTTTATTCCCTACCCCCTTTTTTACTTTTTATTTTATTTTATTTATTAAAATTTTTTTAAAAATTAAGATATCATTGATATACACTCTTATGAAGGTTTCAAATGAAAAAACAATGTGGTTACTACATTCATCCGTACTATCGAGACCCCCCCATGCCCCATTGCAGTCACTGTCCATCAGTGTAGTACGATGCACCAGAGTCCCTACTTTTCTTCCCTGGGGTACACTATATTCCCCATGATCTCCCCCACACCGTGTGTGCCAATCATAATGCACATCAACCCCCTTCTCCCTACCTCTGCACCCGCCCTCCCATCCCTTTGGTAACCACTAGTCCCTTCTTGGAGTCTGTGAATCTACTGCTGTTTTGGTCCTTCATTTTTGCTTCGCTGTTATACTCCACAAATGAGGGAAGTCATTTGGTACTTGTCTTTCTCCATCTGGTTTATTTCACCGAGCATAGTATCTTCCAGCTCCATCCATGTTGTTGCAAATGGTAGGATTTGTTTTCTTCTTATGGCTGAATAGTATTCCATTGTGTATATGTACCACATCTTCTTTATCCATTCATCTACTGATGGACACTTAGGTTGCTTCCATATCTTGGCTACTGTACATAGTGCTGCAATATACATAGGGGTGCATATGTCTTTTTGAGTCTGAGAAATTATATACTTTGGGTAAATTCCTAAGAGTGGAATTCCTGGGTCAAATGGTGTTTCTGTTTTGAGTTTTTTGAGGAAGCTCCAGATTGCTTTCCACAATGGTTGAACTAGCTTACATTCCCACCAGCAGTGTAGGAGGGTTCCCCTTTTTCCACATCCTCGCTGGCATTTGTTGTTCTTAGTCTTTATGATACTGGCCATCCTTACTGGTGTGAGGTGCTATCTCAGTGTGGTTTTAATTTGCATTTCCCTGATGATT